AAGTTGTACCGGAAATACGCATATAAAAGCTACATTTGTATATTTCAATTATTAACACCCAAGATAAATGTTTTATTTGAATGAAAAATAATTTTTTATTGAAATAAAATAAAAATTAATTTTTCTCAAAGCTCACTGCCATGTTTAGTTCGCTCTTAGCTAACGTAATTTTTCTTATATGCAAACGTATAACAATAATAAATACAATAAGAATTATAAATTAAAATTAATAAACAAATTAAACAATTTCATAATTAATAATAATTATTTTCTTTTTGGTTTTTATTTTTTTATAATTTTTTATTGTTATTAATTTTAATTTGTAATTGTTATGGTAATAATAACTCTATTATATGTAATGTTAATAATAATAATAATGTCATTAATAATTATAAATTTAATTAATTTAGAAAAATTTATAACTCAGTTTTAATTTTTTAAAGCAAGCATTTAATTTTCTAAAGTTTGGACCTAAAATTTTGTAAACACGTGTTTAAACACCTAGTTAATTTTTAATTTGAATTTTTTCAATAACATATATTTATCAATTTTTAAATTACAGAATAAATTTAAATTTCTACTTTTATGTAATTTTTTTACGTCCAAAGAAATCTTTCATTTTGAATCAATAATCACATTTTTTTAATTTCTGTATAGAAGCATATTTTTCTCAAAATTAAATAAAATTCTTATTATTATTAAACGAAAATAAATTTTGTCTTTTTTTCTATAGTTTACTTGACAAATTTCCCAAAACTCCCTAAGCAAAAAAAAAAAAAAAAAAAATTATTAATAAACATTTTATTTTTGTCAAATAATTTTCATTTATGTAAATTAAGCAGTATTTGCTTCAAATGCAGAAATTATTAGTTTCCAGTAGAATTTATTTGATATTTGCTTTTTGTTAAAACCGTTTTTGTTAATTTAGGCCTATTTAATAGAAAATAATTAGTTTATTTGCTTTGAATAAAAAGATTTATTTTTAGTTGACAAATTATTAATTAGTTGACTCAAACAAATTTTTTTCTGTGTATTATTTATAAAAAACTTGGTGCCATTTAACTCGGAGAGAAATATAAAAAATTTATAAAAAATTACGTTTTAATGAAAAGAAATAAAATACAGAGAAGAATTTAAAAATACGTAAACGAATAAAAAGAAAAATTGGATAAAACCTAATTTAAATTTGGCTAATAAGAAATATTTTTGTTTACAATTTACTGCTTCAAATTTACAATATGGTTTATATTTTTCATGTTATTGAAAAATATAAATATATTAAATTTTCTACATTATTAAAACGCACTTTAGTAAAGTTCTTTTATTTCTTGTATTATCTTATTTATTGTAAATAACAATATTTTCTTATACATTAAAAAATATTGTGAAGAATTATAAAAAGGAAAAAATGTATAATTACAAATTTTTACCTGATAAATGCAGACGAAACAAACGACCAATAAAGTCAGAAGAATAAAACGAGACATATTGGAAAAATTTTACTTTGTTTTGTGACGATGTGAGAGAAACTGAAGATTCGTATGGTATGTGATGGAGGAGAAGGTGGCAAACTGGATTTGAAAGCGAAACTGGCGCAGTTGACTGGCGCGATAAAATAACGTATGTTTCAGGTCAAAGGTTTCAACTTTATAGTGTGAAGCTTTTAAAAAACTTTCAGCTATTTATTTAACAGTTGTGCATTATTATCTCTCTTTCCCTCGTATCTTAGGCAAATATAGGAGACAAACAAAAAAAATTTTTCATTTTCCAGTCCTTTTCCTTTTTATCATTCTTAATCTTCGAAACTTGAATAAATAAAGTTTTACGTAAAACTTTTACTATTGGATAATTTTTTATTCGTGTTATTCAGAATTTGGTATTTTTTTAATGGGAAAAAATGTAGAACATTTTTTATACAGTTACATAAAGAAGAATTTGATTTTAATTTAAAATTTGAAATTTAATTTGTTTATTTTATTTTTTATTTGAACCAAATGAAAGTTTCTTGAACCGAATAAAACATATTCGAAACAAATAAAATTTATTTGAACCAAAAAATGTATTCGAACCAAATAAAATTTATTTTTAATAAATAAATCTTTTTCTAACCAAATAAAATTTACTTTTAATAAATAAATCTTTTTCTAACCAAAATATAATTTATTTGAATCAAATAAAACATTTTCGAACCAAATATAATTTATTTGAATCAAATGAAACATATATTTGAACCAATTGTAATTTATTTACAAATCAAATTTTTTTAGTGCGAATAAAAATTTTATTAAAACCAAATAAAATTTATTCGAATCGAATGAAATATTTTTAAACCAAATATCTATAATTTATTAAAAAAATAAAAGGTTTTTTGGCAAATTAAAATTTTTATTTGAACAAATAAAGTTTATTTGGAACAAAAAAAAAGTTGCTTACCACCGACTAAAACTTATTTTGAAACAAATAAAATTTATTTGCTTTAAATAAATCTTTTTCAAAGCAAATAAAATTTATTGGAATCAAATAAAACAAATTTTAACAAAATACAATTTGTTTGAAAAATAAAAATTTTTTTTTGGCTCAAATAAAAAAATTTAGAACAAATGAAACTTATTTGAGGCAAATAAAATTTGTTTGAATTAAATAAATCTTTTTTTAACCAAATAAAATTTATTCGAATCAAATAAAACATTTTCGAATCAAATACAATTTATTTTAATAAAAAAAAACATATATTTGAATCAAATATAATTTATTTATAAATCAAATGTTTTTTGGCACAAATAAAATTGTTGTTTGAACCAATTAAAATTTATTTCCATCAAATAAAATAATATTTTTTTCTCTTTAAAATATAAATTTTCTTTTCTGTTTTTTCTTAAAGCTCATTTTACGCATATAAAAAATAAAAACATTTTTTAATATTAATAAATAATGTTGTTACATACTTGTAAATAAATAATACGAAATATTATAAAAATGAAAAAGAAAGGAAAATTCCAAAATTGTAATTTTTCTCTTTTAGTTATTGAAAGAAAAAAGAAAACAAAAATATTAGAAATCAAACTCAGATTATTGAGTTTTAAAACGCGAAAGCCTTTTATTGCGCATTGTTCATTATTTACCGTTGAAATTGAAACAATAATGTATGCGAATAATGAATGATTGTTATTCTCGCAAAGTGTAAAGAATTACGTGTGACTAAAAAAAGCTTTTATTAAAATGACTTTTAACTATATAGACTTTAAAGTATTTTAAATTTAGTTTTGTTATCAATTTTTAGGAGAAGAAAATAGATATAGAAAAAGCAGTGAAAGACACTCGATTTTATAATCTATATATACAAATGTTTACCTTTTTTATAAATTTTTTTTTGTATTTTTATTTATTTTCGATTTTATTTGAAACTAAAAATTCTGAAAAGTATTTTGTAATTAATTTTTAAAAGAATTAAAATACTTTTTATTGTGATTAAGCAAAATTTATTTATAATTTAATCGTGAATTTGGAAAAGGGCTTAACTCTGAAAACCATAATTCAACATATAATTAAAAATGAATGTTTTTTAAATATTTTTTTTTTATTATTTTATTTATTGTTATAAATTGTTATTATTTTATTTTTATTGTTTTTTTTATTATTATATTTTTTTTTTATTATTAATTTATGAAATATGAAATTTAAAGAAGTCGTGTACAATCATCGTACTAATATTTCATACGTCATTACTTTTAATGATCAATATCTTTGACTTTGTAACAGGATGTATGCAATTATTGTCATCACAATGTATACTATACTGAATGTGTGAAAAAAGAGTTAACAATAGAGCTACTTATGAAAATCATTTCATAAAAATATTATACGAATGTAATAACATTCAATTTTCTATTATGAAAAACAAAATTTAATTTCCTTTAAGAATAAAAATTCAAGTTCCATTTGTTTTGAAATATTTTTTAAAAAACGCATTTGAAAACTGAACTTTTAAATTCTGATTTTTCTTATTGAAATCGATCTCTCTGAATCTAAAATTCAAAACTATAAAAAAAAGTATCAAAAAAGAATTTATAAGTAATATTTTTTTACTATTAATTTTAAAATAAATAGCAAATTGAAATTTGATTTATCATAATGTTTTTCTCTATGAAAAAAAAAATATATATATATATATATATATATATATATATATATATATATATGTCAAATTGAAGATTCAATTAAAAATTGTAAATTCAGCAGTGTTTGTAAATGCGTTTTAAAAAAAGTTTAATTATTTGCCAACAATGAATGTATTTTAATTTATTATTGTTTAATTTATACGACAAATTACTTCATAAATTTTCAAGGAGATATCCTTGAAAAATGACAATGAAAATAATTTCAAACTTTTGCAGATTTGGAACTTTTGTTGTGATCCACTTTTTTGTTCTTCTTTAAAAAGAAAACATTTTTTTTTTATATTCTAAACATTAAAATAAACTTTATAATATAATTTTTAACTGACATAATTTGAGAAAAATCTTATTAAATTTAAAAAGTTTTTTCGAAAATAAATATTTTTAGAAGTATTCTTTTTTTAAACATTCAGCACAAAGTATTTTAGTTAGAAAAAATATTTGCTGTTTGAATTTGAATAAATTTAAGCAATTAAGTGAATTTAAATATTTTTTTGACTTTTTTGAAATTTTATATGGAGCATTCTAGGTGAAATTTTCATTAAATTTTTTTTTTGTTTGGAACAATTTTTATTCAATAATAAAATAAAAAATACGTGTTTTCTTATTTTTCATATAAGATTCGAAAAAATTGTTCTAAACAAAAAGTTTCTTAATGAAAAATTCACCTGGAATGCCCTTTGTATTCCTATTATAATTTTCTTTATTGAAATTGTCATTCTATTTCATTATTGAAATATTTATAATATAATAAAGTAGAATTATTTTCTAGATTTGGAATAATTCTTTTAGGTATAATAGTAATTTCTTTATAATAATAATAAATTTTAATAATAATTTATTTATTAAAATATTTCAAGTAGGAAATAATACAATGAAGTACAAAGATTTCGTTGAAGTTGGAATAATTTTATAATAATAATAATTTCTTTATTAAAACATTCAATAAAGGAAATAATATAATTAATTACAATGATTTTGTTAGAATTGTGATAATTTACAATTTTTATTTAATATTTGTACACACAACAGTTAGTAAACATTTGGTGGATTATTTAAAAAGAAAGTAATCTAACAAAATAATTAAATCTTTGACGTACTCGAAATGTTAGTAACAATACAACAATGGGTAGTAGCAAAATAGTCATAATAATGATAGTAGTACTAATAATAAAAATTCTACAAATAGAACCTAAAATATTAGACGTACGAATTGAATTGAATTCATTCGTATAATTTTCAAATTTTATATGGTCGAAATTCATCATTGTTTGTTGTTTGTTCTCTATTTTTATTTTCACTTTTGTCATTTTCTTTGGTTTGTTCGTCATTCTGTTGAGTGGCAATATTTGTTGTACCTTCGATACCTTCGATAATTGGAAAAATTGGCAAATTTTTAGTAACAGTCTCGTCTTGGGAAATTGATGATGAAATTGTGGTTATTTCTGAATTTATATCATCTAATTCGTGATGTTTGTGTTCACGTTTAATTTTCGAATTATCGTCAATTTTCACTAGTGCTGGTGGAGGTGATTCTGTGTCGAATTCAGGTGATTTTTCCATTTCTTCGTCAGTTGCGATTTCTGTAGCATTGTATTCACGTTTATTTTTACCTCTTGGTTTTTCGCTACAGAAATATTTGCAAATGCCTGATTTCAATTTTGATGGATCTTCTATAATGTCGGTGATGAATTCTTCGAGATTTTCTAACCATGTACAATCTTCATCAGGAGTACCAGTTTTAGGTTTCTTTCTGCCTGGCTTTCCTAGTTGACCATCTTCATCATCAGGAGTATTACCTGAAGGTTTCCTCCTGCCTGGTTTTCCTAGTTGACCATCGTCATCATCAGGAGTATTACCTGAAGGTTTTCTCCTGCCTGGTTTTCCTAGTTGACCATCGTCATCATCTTCGTCATTAGGAGCATTTCCTGAAGGTTTCTTCTTGCCTGGTTTATGCTTATCAGGTATCTCAGCATCTTCATCATCTTCATCCTCAGGAGCATTACCTGAAGGTTTCTTCTTGTCTGGCTTATTAGGTTCATCATAATCATCATCATCATCATCATCATCTTCAGCTTTAGGTATATCTTGTTTATCACTCTGAAGTGGATGTTTTCCCTTTTTACTCTTATTTCCTTTCGTTGGTGAAATGTAATCATCATCTTCATCATCATCGTCATCATCTCCAGGTTTAGGTTTACGATGTTGATTGTCCTGAAGTGGACGTTTTCCCTTTTTACCCTTATTTCCTTTCCGTTTTGATGGAACGTCATCATCATCATCTTCATCCGTATCTGGTTCTTCAGTTTTAGGAGCATATTTTTTGCTATATTGATCAATTCCTTCTATTATTTTTTGAAGATCTTTTCGTTGTTCTGGTGTCAGGGGTTGCTCAAGGCAAAAACACGAGTCTTCTTTAATCTTCCGTCGCATTCTCTCCAGAACAGGATATCCCAATCTCTATAAATGGAAAAAATTGCATTAAATATATTTATTAATTCAATTAATTAAATATTAATTTTTTTTCAGAAACCAAAATATTAGTACGGAAAATAATGTTTGTCTGTAGAAACAAATGTCTCTAAAAATAACTCTCTAGTAACAAATCTCAAACATAAAATAATAAAGTATGATTTACAATTTAGTAAAAAATTTAGTAAATAAAAATACAGTTTGTAAAAAAGAGAAGAAAATTAATTAAAAAATAAACTCACCTTGTTAAGTTCGGGATTCTTTTCTAGTATCAAACTCAAACTTTCCAAAATAGACTCTCGTAGTGTTGCATTTTGTGTGCCATTCAAACTTTGAACTTTTTCGTGCAATTCTTTCAATTCCGTGGATAAATTTGAATCGCGTTTTTGACGATGATAAGTGGGCAATCCATGACAATCGTAGATTAAGATTGTCAGGAGAATAGCAAAGCTCAATGTAAGAAATGAGTTCTTCATTGTAGCTTCTGTGTAACTTGTCCCTTGATGGATTTGACTGGACTATTTATTCAAAATCTTTGAACAAATTATCATGAGAAACGTGCTTCCAAAAAGAAACATTTCGAGCTTTAAACTCTTCCGTAAAGATTATTCCAATTTTTTTTTCAATTGTAGTAAGATAAAATAATGATTAAGAAAAAAAAATTTGCGAATCTCTTTATATGATATTTGAATAATCGCGATAACGCATTATTTACAACAATGACAAGTTTTTCTTTATTGTGTATTGAAAAAAAGATTTTTAACTTTCAATACTGTTATTAATATATCATTTGTTTAATTTTCATTAATTGTGACTTTTCATTTATATACTTGTGATTTTCTTATCCAGGAATTTTAATTTGTTTCATTTAGTTTAGTGATTAAACATGTTCTTCATTTTAAAACACATATCATTGTATGTATATCTTAATTTTCAAATAAGACATCGAATTAAAGTATAAAATGAAAATAATGTTGACTCTTCATTTTTTGTGGATTAAATTTTAATTTGTAAAAATCAATTTATAAGTTATTAATTCAATATTAATTTCAAAACTACTATTATTATTACAATTACTACACTATACAAAAAAATTTATTCTTTACTTATCTTCCTTAAATTTTTAATAAACTATTAGCACAAACAAATATTTTTAAAAAAGTAGAAAATATTTGCAAATTTTTTCCACAAGTTGTGTAAATTTCTTTTAATTTTTTACTTCTTAATTTCAATATAGTGAATTAAAAAAAATAAATAAATAAATAAAAATTAAATTAAATTAAATTAAATTAATAAATAAAATTAGATTTCTGTTTGATTTCAATTATAAATTTTTTATTTGTTGCTTTTTTATAATGTTACACATAATTAGTATTATATCGTGTATATAATACTAAATGTCAGGATATATGTACATATTTTCATAAGTCAATAGAATATCGTCAATAATTCGGCATTGTCAAATCAGTATGAGCAAACTTCGTCTTGGAAATATTGTGGCATTTCAAAAGTTTCTGATTCTTCGTCATAACTGTAAAGAAAGAAATTGCAATTTAACAAAGTTAGGAAATATAGTGAGAATAATAATGAATAAAGGAAAATAATAATAATTTTGTAACAAAAAAAATTTCTTTTAAATATTCGTTTTCTCGATTTTTCCGAGAATTGAAAAGTGTTTGAGTATTCGGAATTAGTGAAGCATCAAAAATAATTTAAGTTTGCAAAATGATTCAAGAATTTTATTTCATGCAAATATTAGAGAAATTTTAGATTTTAGAAATCATTAAAATGTGTAATTCATTTGACATTGAGAGAAATTTCAGTTTCGGAAATGATTTAAGAACTTAAATTTAATCCAAGAAGTTTAAATTTAAATCCAAATAGATTTAAATTTTCAAAATTATTCTATAATTTTTAATTCATTCGAGAAAACCAAAAAGTTATAATTCTCTTACTCATTCAATAACTTAAATCCTTAGGAGAATTCAAGTATATTCGATATAATTCAGAATCGAAAAGATTTCAGTTACCGAAATTCAAAAAATTTTAATCCATTCGTAAATTGGAAATGTATTTAAATTCTCGAATTTATTCAAGAACCTTAATTAATTCAGAAGTGCAAAATATTTTTGATATTGATAAAAAATTAGAACCCATTCGAGAATTCTAAAAATTCAGATATTATTTGTGGATAACAATTTTTTAGTTTTGGTTACTTTCTTTTGTATCGTATAGTTCAAAAAAATTTGCATTCAAGAATTGAAAAACTTTTCTTTCTCGAAGAATTACAAAGAGTTGAAGTGAGATTCCATATGCTGAAAAGCTCAGAACTATGGGAAAAATTAGAAATCTGTATCAAATTTAGATCATCGAATTTTATCTGTATTTTTTTTTACAGATTTTCCATTAATATACTGTAAAAGAAATTGTTGACGCATTAAAATATAATGTCAGGGATTAATTTTGCTTTCTTACGAATGTGAGTTTATAAATAAGCATACCTTGGATCGCTGTCTTGCGTTGAGTAAGGATTGTACATATCAGGTTCATAAAAATCGGCATCAGACGAACGTTTATGTTTCTTCACGCATATTTTCAAATTCGAACATCCATGACTGTTGCATTTCTTTTTATGACAGCACTTCGATTTGCAATGTTTCTTGTGAGATTTGCAACAACATTTTTGATGATGATGTCCATGTCCATGTCCATGTCCTATCAATCCATAAGATAAGCCCATGCATGGTACCATTTGTTCAGGACCTGGAGCCGGCATTATTGGCATTGACATTGGTGGCATTGGCATTGATATTGGTGGCATTGGCATTGACATTGGTGGCATTGGCATTGGTAGTTGATATACTGGTGACGGTGATGGGCATAATGGTGGTGGTGGTTGATATACTGGTAGTGGAGGAGGTGGTGGTGGAGGTGGTGGTGGTGGAGGTGGTGGAGGAGGTGGTGGAGGAGGTGGTGGTGGAGGTAAAATAATTGGTTGTGGTGCTGGAAGTTGGAAGCACATAGGTGGAGGCTGATGTTGAGGTGCGATGAATGGTGGTGGTGATGGAGGACCCCACGGGAAGACAGGTTTCATACATCCATGATGACCACGATGATGACAACGATGATGACAACGATGATGATGATGATGATGTTTACAATGATGATGTTTGTGGTGTCCGTGGCATGTTTTAGATTTCTGCAAATAAGACAAATAATTAATGAATGTTCAATAACAGAGCACTTATTTAGCACTCAACATAGCACTTCTTTAGCTTGCAACATAAAACTATAAATAATTTTGTAATCTATTATAAATCTTCATCATTAAGCACATCATGAATTCACATTCGTTAAGCACATCATGAAATTATCTCCAATCCACATTCTATCATAACATCGACATAAATCCAAATGCAATAACGAATTTTAATCTACTGTCCAATTTTAAACAATTAAACAACAAATCCAAGAATTTAAAGAATTCCAAAAAGTTCTGAACTTGCTATGCTACAACCAAATTAAAAAAAGTAATAAAATATTTCCGATATGTTAATACAGTATTTGAAAAACATCCAAACAAAAATTGCCACATTTGTCAAAATCAATTTACTTCAATTTTGCAATACCAAGTTTTAATCTATTTGAAATAATTCCAAACAATTCGAAAGCATTTCAAAACAATACAATTCCAAAAAACCTTTTAAATGCTACAATAGAATTGAATCAAAGCAATAAAATATTTCCGATATGTTAACAGTTTTCGAAAACACCCAAACAAAAATTGCCATATTTATTTAATTTGTAAATGTTAGAATAGAATAGAATTAAAATAAACTACATCATACCGACAAAAAAAACACAGTACCAAAACTTGCAGAAAAATTAACAGTCAACGTATCGAATATTAAAGAATATTCGATAAAATGTCAATTTTGCTACAAATTTCATTTATTAAAAATTCAAAAATCCATTATTGAAGAACATAAAGAAATTTATACAATACACAAAAAAAAGAAATAAAATTAAGAAAAAAAATGAAAATTCAATTCAATTATTAGTTTAGAATAAAGCAGAAAAGAAAAGGAATAATAGAAAATAATACATTACATCACATGATACTGATAATTTCAGTGGAATACACTTCTTCTTGCAACAGTGGTTGGCGGTTGATGATTGTAGCGCCGCAGCGACAATTAGAAAGAATAACACAAATGCCAACTTCATATTGTAATTATTAATTTGAAGTCTACCCTGACATTGGACTGAAATGATGAGATGTCGAGATTTAAATATATTCTCGGTCTCGAAGAATTTTTATTTCCGTTTTGAAATATTACAAATAATTGTGGTCAATGATCCTAAAAAGTTTATAAAAATTATTAACTTCCTGTATATTCAAAGACAAAAAATAATAACACATGTTGTAATAATTATTGATACGTAATTTAGTCTTTCATCCTTATAAATGAGATATTTCTATCAATATTTTCCATGTTTGTTCTTCCTTCAACTCATTTCCGGATATCATGTGTTAATTGAAATAATATTGAATATTTGTTTTTTTTTTTACTCTCACCTGACATTCTTTCTACATTATTTCCTTTAGGAAGAAACAAAATTATGGAAAATAAATTTGTTTTTAAGAAATATTGCGCGTGTGTAATTATTACGATTTTTTTGTGTTTCGCAATAATTAAATATAATTTTAAAAATTTACTTTTTAAATTAGAATGGAAAAATTTTTTTATCTGGAAATTTTATTTTTGATTATAATACTGCGAAATGAATGTTTTCTTTAGAAAAAATTCATGAGTCTGAATTTTAGTGTTTCGAAATTTATTTGATCGGATTTTTGTCATTTTATTAGTACACAAAAAATTGCATAAACCTTATTTTTATTAAATTTAATGAATCACTGAGAAAGCAATATAAATCAAACATAATTATCTTTGTTATACAGTCAACCAAACATTATTTTTGAATTAAAAAATAATTTTAATTTAACACATAATAATAATGATAATAATAATAACAAAAAATTTTGTTATAAAAAAAAGTTTTTCTCAGTAAATTTGCATGTAGTTTAACTTTATGCATTTTAAATAAATTCAATTTTTTTATTAAAATTTGTAATCTTTAATCGTGTGCAGTTTTCTCGTCTGCAGTTAAAATTTATGCAATTTTTAAATTTTAGATTTAATAATTTTATTATAAAAATTTTTTTCCGTATGCAGTTTTCCTAAATAAACATTTTTTTCGAACCAAATAAAATTTATTTGAAACCAATAAATCTGATACAATTTTCTTTATGTAGAATCGTAGAATATTTAAATTGATGCAAAGTTTTTTTAATTTTATGTAAAATCTTCATTTCATGAAATAAAAATTTGATGATTCAAAAATTTTCTTTAAGAAAAAAAAGATTTATTAAATTTTGATGAATAACTTTTCGTGGATAGAATTTTTGGTTATTAGAAACTTGAATTTACAAAATTTAATCGAAAATACAATTAAGGAATTAATTTTTGTTAAATAAATGTTTAACAGAAGTAATTATTTATAATAACGGTCCGAAGAAAGAAACCTAAAAATCATTTTAAGGTTATGTTTTTATTATTTTTGCTTTAAATAAATGTTTAAATGTTTCTAAATGTTCTAAAATGTTTTTAAATGTTTTTAAATGTTTCTTTAAATGTTTATTTTTAATAATGTAAAACTGAAATAAGTTTTTATTAATTATTTTAGATGCAATGAAGATTTAAGTATCAGTGATTTATATTGAGAGTTGATCCCCTCTGTGTATTTTCATTGAAAAAATTACAAACATAACCTAAAATTTGTTGGTTGTTAGGTACCTTTCTTTGAAGCTTTTAAAAAATACTGAAAATATTGTTACAAATAAATTCTTTTAAATTTAAAATTCTGTCAAATAAATATTATAATGTCCCTGAAGTTAGCATAATATTGATTCTACATTTAGAAATTTTTATCTAATAAAAATTTGCCCTTAAAGAAAAATTGATTAACCGGAAATTCGAATTCGTGAATTTAAGAAAATAGTTAATTACGAATTAATTTAATAATTCTGGAAAGAAGTAATTTTACGCTTAAAAATCAATTTTCTGAAAAGGAATTGTTTTTCGTTCGAAAATAATTATTTTTTTGATAAAATAACTTCAGGTAAAACTATTTAAAAATTAATTTTACTTAAAAAAATTTTTTTAATATAAATAATTATAATAATTTGAAATATATTGCAGATATTAAAATATATATTTAATATTATTATTATTATTATTATTTATTAGTATTTTATTACTACTATACTCTACTACTAAACTATTAATTTATTTTTATTATTATTTATTTATTAATTTATTTATTCATTTATTTATTTATTTATTTATTATGATTAGGAGGAAAGTAGGAAAGTTTTATTAAATATTAATTCTCATTTTTCTTGTTTATTATAAAAATTTTATTGATATACACAATTCATATTCTTATTAAAATTATTTGAGAAAAAAATATATTTTATACAGTTTTAAGTCAGCGATGCCTGTTAAGGTACCAAATCGTCATTCGAATTTTTGTCTCTGTATGCAGTTCTCTTCAGCACATTCATCAAAACTGAAAAAAGAAAATTTGTTTTCAATGCTAACTCTTTTTATTATACAAAATAGTTTTCGTGAAAAAATTTTACAGCAATATAACTTTCTTTGTTATTTATGTATAAAACATAAAAATAAAATAGAATATACATAAAATATAAAAAGATGAGATTAAAAATTGAAAACAGCAAATTAACAAAATATAAATATATAAAAAGTAATAATTTAAGACCAATTTTTGATTAAATATAAAATTAATAGAAAAATTTGTATCAAACCTTTGAATTGAATCGTTCATATCATCGTAATGATGCTGCTGGGGTTCATCAAATTCGTTATAACTGAAAATAAAAATTTTAAATAATGTTTTTTCAATATGTGTTTCAAATAATTTTTGAAGAAATAGAATTTAATGAACCTTGAAATGTAATCGTTGTCAATCTCATCGCATTGCTGTTCGGGTTCATCAAATTCGTGGAAACTGAAAAGGAAATTTTTTTTTTATTTTAGTTTAAATTTAAGTTTTACAAATATTTTTTGATAGAATATTTATTTATATTTTCACGTAATAAATTAATATAAAGAAAAATAAAAGAATGAAATAAACCTTGAAACTGAATCGTCATCGATCTCATCACAATGATGCTGGGATTCATCAAACTCGTCAAAACTGTAAAAGAAATAATAAAATTAAGATTTTCAACTATTAACTTTTCATTCAAAGTTACAAAATTATTTATATTTTCTAAAAACATTTTTATTATTTTTTTATATTAAATTTGAAATAATTTTGTTTTTGAATTTTTTTATTTAAAATGATTTTTGGAATGCAATTTTTTTTATGTACCTTGGTTCAGAATCAATGCTTTCATCATAATGACATTGGGGTGATTGATAGAAACAGTCGTTCAATTCATCAGATCTAAAAAATATATAAAACACTCGATTAATTTTTACTCTGAAAAAAAAAAATTTACTATGAGGCACAATTTGTAAAAATTATTAATTTAAACAAAATAATATTTTTATTATTATTATAAAATAAATAATTTCTAATTAAAATTAAAATTTCTAATTAAAAATTAAAGAAAAGCGTTTTTTAAGTTGTGATTAAAAAATAAACATACTCTGGCGTGAGATTGGTGTCTTCATCATGTATTTTAACAAAATCTCGTATTTTAAAATCAGTAGGACCACTTGCATTTATTTCCGTACATTTCTTTTTGCAAGTTTTAATACGACATTCATAACGACGACAAAGTTTTTGTGCGTTGCGACCATTTCTAAATTTCAATGAATAACGTGGTGAATATTTTGCATTTTCAATCGCAATTAATTTTCTTAATAGTGGCTTAATTGGTACTCTTCTTGTCAATTTTACAATTGGCTTTCCGATAATTATTGATTTTCTGATAGCAGATGATGGCCATTTATTTAAAATTAATACACTTGGTTTTTGTTCTATTAAAGCGATTGATTTCTGCCGCAAACGAGCTTCGTTTCTTCTTCTCTGACAACCAGAATTACAATCGGGCAATTTCTGTAAAAATACGTACAAAAAAGTTATTCATCGTGAGATTTTCATTTTTAATTTCAATAATTTGAATAATAAAAAATTTTAATTTAATTAAAATTTATAATTGAAATAATTAGTTGTTTTTTATTACAAGAATAATTTTTTTCTTTTTTTTTTTAATTCAAAAATTAATTGAATTATATTTTTTTTCTACAACCAAATGAAAAACTGATTTGTTAAAAGTAAATTTTATTTTCACCCCAAAAAATTTATTTGTGCCAAATAAAATTTTACTTTGAAGCAAATAAAAAGGTCTATTATATATTTATCTACAACAAATAATTTTGATTTAAATAATTTAAAAAGTAATTGCTTCAAATTATTTAATTATTTATTTAATAATTAAATTATTTAAGACAATTAAATAGTATTTACTTAATACACTGAAATTATTTATTGGTTCAAATTCAAATACAAATTATTTATACTTTAAATAAAAATTATTTGATTCAAGTAAATTTTTTTTCACTGTAACGATAATGAATTTAATTGAAATTTTAATTGAAATACAAATAAAATACCTTACCTTACAAACAAGTTCAACTTTTTCAATACATTTAGAATTTGAAAATTCAAATGACAAAGCGAGAATTAAAAAAAGGAACAAAATTATCGTCTTCATATTGTAAAACTTTTTATTTTGACGTGAAACTAACTAATGAGTTGAGATTTAAATGCATCCTTCCGAACTCTGTTAAAAAAAATTTTTTCTTCCTGTTTTAAATTTATCAATAATTTTATGTTTTGAGTGTATTAATAACCGGGAAGCATTGCGAATGCAATGATTTTTAAATTCCTCCGGATACGGAAATTAATAATTTTCTTTTTTTTTTGTTAAATTTGTCAATAGAGTGTTTATTTATTAATTCTTCTCTTCAAAATTAACTGAATAATAAAGTCATCAAGTGAAAAAGTGTAAAGAAACAATAATCAATTTTATTTACTTGTCTTTCATATAGTGTAAAATCTAATGAAAATAATTCTAAGTTTAAAATTCTAATTTTTACATTCGTCGTTTTTTTTAATTCTTACTAATGGTTAATAATTAATGATTTGGAGAATCCATAGAAATCAAGTTTCATAAAAATTAATTAATTTTTAAAAAATTAACCGCCATGTTTGATCCTCCATTTTGAACTTTTGTGTTTGGATTCATAATCAAAGGTCTTGGCTTTTTAAAAAAAAATTTTATTCTACTGAAAAGGAATTGGAAAGACAGTTAAATGAAAAATTAGTTCAACTTCGTATTTTATTATATTTATTAAAAGTATTTTTAAATAAAAAAATATTTAAAAATTAAAAATTGTTTGAGTGAAAATAGTAATAATAAAAAATATGAAGAATATGAACAAGAATAAAAATAAGAATAATTAGAATAATAGTAACAGTACTGGAAATAATTGTAATTTTTTAAATTAAAAAAGGCCTAAATTTAAAATTATTTTTTTGTATTTTTAACGAACGGCAAGTATAAAATAAAAGTAGAAAAATAATACCTAACATTAATAATAATTAAAATAATAATTAAAAACTTATTCTACATTTTAGAAAGTTTTTTAATAAAGAACATTTTTTTATAAGACTATTTAAATTTTGTTTTTATTTTTAATAATAATTGTTTGCATATAAAAAAATGCTCATTATTTTTAACATTTAAATTAAATTAGAGAATTTTTTCCGAAAGTTAAAAATATTTATAAGCTAATTTGAAAAAATTGACAAATCCAAGACTTACTAATTTTTTATGAGAATATAAAAATTGATGCTTCAAATTATTCTTCGAAAAAATTATATAAATAAATAATAATTACATAAATTAGGGATATAAATACAAAAAAAAATTAAGAATATTATTTCGAAATGTTTACTTGTAACTTTGTCTGAAATTAAAAAAATTATTTTTCTCTTTTGAAAATTGTCATCAATTGGTATTAAATTCAATAAAAATTATTCTCGTAAAAGAATAATTGTAGGTATTGTTTGTTTTCTTTAAAAAATTGTTTCGCATTAAAGTCACGTAATTAAGTGAACAAGAGCCTTGAATATTTTATGACCTAGTTAAAGAAAAGTTTCAAAATTTGCTGATTCGAAATGAAGACACACCAATGACGACCTTGATTCACATTATAATTTTTCTTCTTTTTTTTGTTAATTAATCAATTTCGATAAATTTATTTGAAAATTACATATTTTATTATTTGTTTTATTTATTTTTTCATTAAATCATCAAAATGTATTGATGATTGATATAAATAATTTCGCAAAAAATTAATAAAATATTGTAAAATGTTTTACAGGACAGTTTTTTTTTTATTACTAACATCGCAATTCGTAAAATAAAGTAGTAATTTCATGGATAATGTTTATTAAAAATAAATTTTGATTTAATTTAAAAGTAGTCTCATTTGAGACAAAATTTCTAAAACAATTTTTTATGTTTGAAAGAAGAAAACTCTAACCCAGAGTTATTTACTTATTGACAATAATTGACCGTTAAAAGAACAACAAATAGATTACAAAAGCAGTTTTTTAAAAATAGAAAGGTATTAAGAATAATATTTTTAGGTATTTAACATTTTTTATTTTTTATTTTGGGTACTTAGAAAAAAGAAACAATTCATTTTTCAATTTTATTTCACATTAAACACATTTAATTATTCGTTTAAAATAATAGTTATGTTGTCTATCATAACATACTTTATGTTGTCAAATCCGTGCATTTTGTACATTATGAGAAATCAGTTATTTATAAGTAATACCATTTGTTTTCATCGGTATCGTGGTAAAATACTGGAGAGCCATCGACTTTTTCATCCCAACTGAAAGAAAACAATTGAAAAATGTATAAGAACAAAATTTATAGTTTAAAAATTCGTTTCTCATTTTAACTATTCTAACTATAAGAATAAAGATATTCTAACTGTAAGAATAAAATACAGACAAACTGAAGCAATAATTTTAACATTGACATTGTTTCTGCATGCATTAGAACATAGAACGCTTTACTGCAAGTTCAGGTGATATTTTGAAAATTATTTTTTCCATTTTTGAACCTTTGCAGCATTATATTACTGCAACTTTAGCTGATATTTTGAGAATTATTTTTAATATTTTTGAACCTAAAGTTGCATCAATAATGCTAACATTGATACTGCTTCTGCTGTAATGCAATTTGTAGCGTTACTGCAATTTTAGGTGATATGTTGACTATTACTTTTAGCATTTTTGAACCTAAAATTGCAACCGTAATTCTAACATTGATTTTGCTTTTGTTGTATTACAATTTGTGGCATTAATGCAAATTTAGTTGATATTTTGAGAATTATTTTTAATATTTTTGAACCTAAAATTGCAGCAACATTGTTTCTTACAATCTGTTAGCACTACTTCAAGTTCGGTTATATGGTGTTATGTTGTAATAGGTGAAAAAATAATTAATAATAATAGGTGATTTTAGTAAAATGAAATAATTATTGATTCGATAAATTCCAAAAATTCCACAAATAATTAGACATACCTTGTCAATGATGGATTATAGTATTCATCAGCTTCAGCAAACTCATTTTCAGGCAAATCGTCATAGCTGATTGGCGATAACCTGTTGTCGTAATATTGGTACTCTTCGGGGTATGGTGTATCAGCCTTGACCGAATATTGTGATCCTGAATTTATTTCACTGTCATAGTTGAGATTTGGCGACAATGGTACATTGGTTAATAAAGTTCTCAAAAGACGAACTCCACTGCTGGTTGGGTTAATAATCTGAGATCTTGCATTTTGAGGATTAAATGAACGTTGACTTGATAGTTGTTGTCCCGCGATTTCTGGTTCTTGTAAAATTGTAATCAATGCAGCTCGAGCGGCTGGAGAATTAGCCAATTGTTGCCAAGAGGCAGATCTGGCATTGCCTTGAAGTTCTCTGGGATTTAAGAGAACAGTACGTAAATTTGATCTGCCATTGGAGGCAGTTTCGAGGTATGATGGAGCATGACGTTCTAGGAGTTGATAACTGGTACGTACAGATTGTAGAGGCAAAGCAGATCTGCCAGAGAGGTCTGTTTTTAGATATGATGAATCATAACCTGAACGATCTCTTGCTGTTCCTGTTGGATACAAAGCAGCATTACGTTCGGAAAACTGTTGTTGTTGCAAAGCAGATCTGCCAGAGAGGTCTGTTTTTGGATATGATGAACCTGAACCTAAACCTGTTGATGCTGATGTTTGTCCATACAAAATAGCATTACGTTCGGGAAACTTTTGTTTTTGTCGAGGAAGATATGAACTGGACCTTCCAGCAAATGGATATTCAAAACCACTTCTGGCTTCTGGTGCTGGAGTTGCTGGTGGATTTTCGGCTGGTGCTTCAGGAAGATTTGGTGTTTCATTAGAACCTGATGCTAATGGAGATAGTGGAGGTTGTGCTGCTGCAGGATTTGCAGCTTGAGTCTGTGGTGCTGCCAAAGCAACTCCTGCTGGATTAGCAGCTTGTGTCTGTGGTGCTGCCAAAGCAGCTCCTGCTGCTGGAGCCTGAGGTTGTTGCGGATTAGCAGCTGCATACGGAGCATGTTGATAATATTGTTGATGACAATATGGATTAAGATAATGCGGATAATAATACTGTTGTTGACTATATGCCTGAAACAAAGTAAAAAACCAAAGAGATAAATTTACACAATTTATCCTAAATCAAATGATAATTTAAAAACAAAGAGACTACTTCTAGGAAAAGAAAAACAATATTATTAGAAGAAGTAAATAATTAAAATATTACATCCGCGCATCCTGTGAATAATCCCGAGGCTAAACCACACTTACAACCACCGAATAAAAATGCATCAGCGACGAATGCATAAACAATGAAAAGTAATTTAATTGACCCCTTCATGTTGATCAAGTTATTAACTAGATTCTGACATGAAACTGACAAGAGGATTGAAGAGTGTTAAATATACTCTCGTTATTTGAGGAAATTATTTTTTCCTGTTTTCAATAATAAATCTCGTCAAGAAAACTTTGAGATCATTGATCACAAGAAATGCGGAAGGAATACTGCACAGTGTTGCAATAAATATAATACTTTAATAATTATCTCGAAATTTCAAGATGCATTCTTGTTTATTAAATCGATATTTTCAATGTAACATTTTAAAAGAAAAAGCATTTCCTTTCAATATGCAAAATAATTGCAAAATTTATTAAACATTTTTATTCCTTCCAGGTTTTTGATGATTATCCTAACAAGACATTGAACCCGAACGAAAAAAAAATATTCTAAATATTTAATTTTAATATTTGAATTATTCAGAGTTGTTTATAAAATTTAGTATATTCAATCAATATTTTTAAAGTTTATTTTTAAAGTTTAATATCGTAATTTCCTTATTAATTTCTCACCGAAATCAGAACTATAATTTTTCTCTATCTTTGCTTTCTTTTGAAAAAATCACTTCTATTTTTACGGTTCTTTTTTTTAGACACATTTATTGTGTGTGTGAGAAGTTGAAAATAGAAGAAAAGAACATTTTTCTTGTTGCAATTTGTGTAAAGCACCATATGGTAGGCAAACTTCTTAGTATCCCTTTTTCCGTTCGAACATCTTTATTATCCGTTGACAAGCGTACTTTAGGGTCGGAAGTGAAAAGTAGATTGTAAATCTCGTTGAGCACATATGGGAGAGTGTGCACGCACTATTCTACATTATAAAACATATAAAAATCTTTGAAATCTTGTACGTGTCATACAGTTATCACAAATTGTCTTTTTCGAAATAATTTTAGATATTAAAATTTCATCACTTTCTAAACTGATGAAATGATATCTTCATTAAATATTAACCTTTTTTTTGAGATAAAATTCAAAAGTTCTTTTACTAATACAATAAATAGACTAGAAATGTTTCTTTGGCTTCTTCAAAAATTATTTTAAAAAATAGTACTTGGGACAGATTGTCTTTAAAAATTTCAAGTAACAATTTCTTAGCAATCGTTGTTAAAAAGTTGACCAGAAGTAGTTTTTTTGTAAATGTTATTCGAAAATTTCTAAACCAATAAAATTTGCAGACAACTGCTTACAAGCAATCAATGAATTTTTTTAGCATCTGTTGCTCAATAACTGTTTTTTTGACACAATTTTTAAAAATTTGTTGTCTAACAGCAGTTTCTTAGTAATTGTTGTTTAAAAATTTGTAAACCAACAAATAAATAACAATAGGCATCTGCTTACAAGCAACCATTGAAAATTTCTTTAGCAACAGTTGTTCAAATTGATTCTTTGTATTTAAAAATTTGTCACACTATAGTGTCGCAAATACATTTATTATTAAAAGAAAAAAAATAGATTGTCCACTTTGGTATAACAAATTTCTAAACACAAAGAAATAGTTGTTGAGCAACAATCGATAAAGAAAAATTTAATATGCTCATAGGCAGTTTCCAATGTTTCTTAGTTTACAAATTTTTTAACAATAATTACTTCTGCTAGGTAACAATTAATTTTTAATTTTGGTCATGACAAATTTTTAAAAGTTGTTGCAAAAAGAATTTGTTGAGCAACAGTTGCTAAAGAAATTTTTTTAACAATATGCCTTCTTAGAAGCAGTTGTCTGTAAAGTTTCATAGACTACAAATTATTAATCAATATTTACTAAGAAACTGTTGCTAGGCTACAAATTTTTAATAACGGTTGCTAAAAAACTGTTACTTGAAGTTTTTAAGAAACTGTTAATTGAAGTTTCAAGACACTGTTAATTGAAGTTTTAATAAAACTATTACTTGCATTTGTTAAGAAACCATTTCTCGAAATTTTTATGAATCTTTTGCTTAGAGTTGTTGAGAAATTATTAAATTAACTGTTGCTGATAAAATAATTTTGTAACGTGAATTATTAAGAAGCAGTTGTTCAACAAACCGTTTGCAAGATTTTTGATAAAAAACTTGCTAAGTAGTAAATTTAAAAAAATTGTCTTTAACTATTGCTTAATAACTGATGCTGAACGAAAGAAATTTTTCTTATCAGTCACTGAAAAGCAATTGTTTGACAACTGTCACTAAACAAACAATATTTACCAAAAATTGTTACGCAACAGATTATTAAATATTGGTTACTAAGAAAAAGTTGCTTATGAACAATTGCTAGACACCAAATGCTTAACAAAATTTCTTCTTAGCACTTTTATTAAGTTTTATTAATTAATTAATTAAATAAATTATATTTTTAATTAATGAAAGGTTTTATTAACTTTTATCATTATTATGTTATTAATATAACAACAACAGATTTTTAGAAAATTCAAGTAACAGTTTCTTAGCAACCGTTGGTAAAAAATTGTTTGCCTAACAACAGTTGCTTAGTAAATATTGTTTAAAAGTTTGTTGCCTAATAAATGTTATTTACTACTTCTAAGCTAGCATTGTTTAAAAAGTTTTAGCAACTATTGTTCATCAACTGTTTTTTGCAACAATTTTTAAAAATTTGTTACAGTCAAACTTAAAGCTTGCTGCAAGATTACGTGCTATTTGGGAATTTATAATAAAGTATAAACAAAAATAGAAAGGCGTATTTATTTCGGTTTTTAAAGATTATAATTATAAGCAATAAATGTTACAAGAAGTGATATACAGATAAAACATATATTTTTATATTTTTTTAAATAAAATTTCATTTTATTAATTTGAGGTAAATTTAATTTTTGTACATATAAATGATATTATTTCGATGAATGTGATGCTTAAAAAAATGGAAACAGTAATTTTTTTCTATTTGTTTCAAATGTTTTTTCCAAAAATCCAAAAAAATAGTTATATTTAATTGTTTCTACAATTTTCAATACCCTGCATACTGTATGAGTTGTACAAGAATTTTCGTCGATTTTTCATTGTCTTAATGAAATTTTCTAAACTCAGGGTTCCTATAGAATCTAAAAATCATGGAAAAGACATTGAAATTTTTAAAAGTTCTCTAAAAATCTAAAAATGGAAAATGCCTAAGTAATTAAAATTTTTTTTTAATTTTTCCTTTTTTTTTTTTTTTTGATAATTTTGAAAATAATATTCATGTAATATGTATTCAGATTCATATTTTTTTAAAAATTAATTTAAATAAAATAAAAATTATATCCAAAATTTCAAGGAAATTTCAACCTGAAATTTTGAAATAGATTTTTGGTAGGAACCCTGACATTTTTTTCGATTTCTTTAGAATAATATTGTAAGAAATTAATTCAATTGTTAGTTTTTAATATTATTTTATTAAATACTGCTGAACCAAATGTGATGTAATTGAAAGTCAATATTAATCCACTGAACGTAAATTATTGTCTAAATTTTCACTGCATTCTGTAACAGAAAATTGAAATTATTTTTTTTTTAAATTTAGAATCGAATAGTGTTTTAGAAGAAATATATTGAATATAAAAAGATACTTAAATTTAGATAGAAAAAAGAATACAAACCTTCTGTATAATCACAGGTTGGACGAGGTGCAATTCGAATTTGAGGGTTCTGTCGTGGACAATTACAGGAAGGTTGGCTTGGTCGACTTCGAACTTGAGGTTTTTGTGATGTACATTTACAGGATAATTGTGTTGTTTTACTTGGCGTTCTTATTTTTTGAATAGTCGGCGTTAAGTTTACTGATAATAGAGGACACGATGGTTGACATGTAGGTCTTGGTTGAAATCTAAAATGCAACAGAAAGAATAAATAAATAAATTAACGAGTTTATTAAAAAAAATATGTTAAATTATTTATTTTTTGATTATGAGGATTATGTAAAAACTGCAATTTATTTATTTATCACTTAATTACAATGTTTAATATTTTTGTTATTACATTTTTTTTTGAAAACATTAAAAGAGAATTTTATTAAATTATAAACAAATAAAAAAATAATTATAAATAAATATATGAGAGACTTTCTTACTTGGTGAATAGCTGTTTTAGAAACATTTCCTTTTTTCTTAAGAAATTGTTAAATTTCTGAGATAATTGTGACATTTTTGATGAACAGGGTGAACATCCTCCTAGATTTCTGGATTGCATTGGAGGAGATAGTGGTCGTAGTAGTGGTCGTGGGGGCTGTGGTGGAGGTCTTGAAAATTGACAAGCATTAGGAATTGCGCCATTAACTCCTAATCCACATTTAAATCCACAAATATCGAAATTTGTCTTTAAACCAGCCGATAAACCTTCACTGTGATAAATTATTGTTAATGTTAATAGTAAAAAAATGACAAATTTTTTTAACTCCATTTTATTCGTTTCAGTATAAAATCTTTTCTTTCGATGATATCAACTCTTCAACGAGTTGCACTAAATTAATTATTTACTTCCTTGTATACATTTATCGATTCACTCGTCAAATTTAAATATTTTTCCAAAACGCGATAAATAAGATTCTTTATTTCAAAAGAACTTAAAAAAATTAATACATTATTCAATATTGATTGGTTTGTTGTTCAATTATTTTTTAGTTAATTAATAATTTGATCGTTAGTTAATTACTTGTTTATAAGTTAATTAATTATTCATTATTAATTAGTTAATTATTTATTCGTTATGAATTGAATAATTATTCATTAGTAATGACTTAATTAATTATTTAATATTAATTAGTTTTTTATTTATTTATTTCAGTTTGGACGTACAAAAAAGTCCTTATTTATATTCTAATTATAATTTAATTATAACAAACAAAAATAATTACAATATTAAAATATGGTAATTGTAATTTACGATTAATATTTTAAAAAGTTTTTTAGGCGAAACTAAAAAATTTAATGATAATAATATTATAGTATTAAAATTCAATCAGAAAACAATTTTTTTCATCGAAAGTTTTATTAATTAATAGTTTTATAAATCTTTTTAAACAATTGTAAATGTTCTCTCTAAATTTATATTTAAATAAATTATTTTTAACCAAATTTTAATGATCTGAATTGTATATTGAAGAAATGCATAAAATTATTAAATAATAATTTAATTATTTTATTTATAATTATTAATTATTTTAATTAAAAAAAAATATTTTTTGATTTTGGCCTATACTATACCAGAATAATATGATTTATCCAAAAACCTTAAGTTTTTTAATTATATTAATTAATATAATAATGAAAAATGCATAAATCTAAAAATATTTAGTCGGATTGATTGAAATAAGAAGCATTAAAATATCATTCAAGAAATTATTTATTACATAAAAAAGAGACAGTTCTTAAAAATGCTACATTTTAATTCAATAAATTACAGAAATAAAAACACATTTTTAGTTTCCTTTAATGTTAAATAAAAAAAAAATTAAGGTCAATTCTCAAGAATGATGTCAGTGAAATTTTTTTTTTATTTTGCAATGATAAAATGATTTATGAATTATGATGACAAGTTTAAATTCAATAATAAATGTAACTACATAGTCAGCATATATATACAAATGGTCATTAAATGTTTCAAGATAAATGATTATTACAAAAAAATATTTTAAAATACAGTGGAACCTCGATTATCCGAACTAACCTAGGCAAGGCCGGGTTCGGATAATCGAAAGTTCGGATAATAGAGATTTTAATTTTTTTTATATAATTAAAGTAAAAAAATCGACAGTTGAATTATATATATTTCATTTAATCCATTTTTTAAATATACATAAGTATATATACCTAAATATATATTAATTCATAATAATATATTAATAAAACATAAAATTTAGAATTTTTAAAGATTTTTCTGGCATAAATTTCGTTATTTTCCTTTGAAAGATTCAGGAGGCCAAAAAAAAGTTCGGATAATAGAAGTTCGGATAAAATGATTTTCGGTTCGGATAATAGAGGGTTCGGATAATCGAGGTTCCACTGTATTGGAAAAATTAATTTTTATAATATCCAACAAAGGAAAACTTTTTTGTATTTTTTTTGAAATTCAGTGTTATTTTGAGTAAATAATACAAAATTTTCTTTGTACTATTTTGTTTCCTATATCAATATATTTTTTTATATTTTCGTATAATTTGTGTATTTTCGTATCTTTTTGTTTATTTTTTTTAGATATTTTTACATTTTATAGACACTTTTTAAGATACTTTTTGTATTTTAGATACTTTTCTTACTTTAGATGCTTCTTTTTAATATATACTTTCTGCATTTAGAAATTTTCATTTTTTGAAACTATTTTCTATGTACATATATATATCGTTTTTCTTTAATTTATGTTTAAGAAATAAACAGGCCTTACACCTTTAAAGAATATTTTCTTTTTAAATCAAAAAAATAAATATTAACATACATCGTTAATTCTTATCAGTTGGATAAGAAATGATACGAAGAAATCCCCTTGATTTGGTTAATTAACGAGAAAATAAAAAATAAAAGCGAATGGGAGAAAAAAAAATAGGTACATTAATTTTAATTATTGAAAAAATCAGAAGCTCGTTGCCTTTGAATTGGAAGTTTAAGTAAATTGTCCGTTGATACGGGTTCAAGAGTTGATGAAACAATTTTTCTTTTCGCATTATCTGGCGTAGATTGTCGATTTTTTCCCAATGTTAATTGAACCGGAGTTCCCGGCGTTCGTACACCAATTGATGGTGTTCGTGATCTTGAACTGCTACTCGGTGTTGGAGTTCCAAACATTTTTAATTTTTGAGTTGCCAGCCTTCGTGCTGCCGGTGACATTGTACTTAAACGATCCATTGTTGATTTCGGCGAGGGTCTGAAAATATAAAAATTAGTTTTTTTCTTTTGCGTCAAATGAAAAATTTTTTTCTTTTCTAGAAAGAAAATTACTTTGGTGAAGTTCAGTAGGTTTATAATCAACAATATATTTAGGAGAAAAATTATATTTTTCGAAGCAAATTTTTATAAATTTTTGTATAAAAATAATCTATATAAAATTTTATCTTAAAAAGTTTTCTGTCCCTAATATTTTGAACGTTCAAGTGAATAAAATTATTTTTTTTTCTAATTAAAAAAACGAATTTTTACTAAAACTTAATTTAGATATGGTAAAATTTATGTAATTTTAAGACAAAAAAAATTAATTCAATCAACTTATTTGAAATAGAAATTATTATGTTTTCATTTTTTCGATAATAATTATTTTCTTTTCTTTTTGTTTCAGGTGAGTTAAACAACATTTTTTATAACGAGTTTATTTCGTAAGTAAATATATATATATATTGAAATATAAATATTTATTATAAGTAAAATATAACCATCAATAATAATAATTTGAAATAATTAATTAATTAATTAATTTAATTTTTTTAATTTGAATAATTTGAAAATTCTGCTTCGTTTATTTAACGAAAAATATCAGCTTCGCAGTATTTTTATGAAATTAATAATTAATTAAATATATCGGAAAATATATTTTGCAAAATTTCTTTTCAATTATTTATAAATAATTATTTATAGGTGATGTAATCTAATTTATATTGCATTACTTTAAATCATAATTCGTTAATTAATTTTTTTGGAAAAAGTACCTATTTAAATATTTATTTGAAAAAATTATTAATTTTTGAATAATTTATTTTCAATTTTTTGAATACAATTAAATTCCCGAATACAATAAATTGAAAAATCTTTAAATAACTAGAAATTTTGTCAAATTCTATTAAAAATTTTATTGAAAAAATGTTTATATTTTAAAGAATTTTATTGCAATTTTTGAAAGTTATCTTTTATGTTTCTTTGAAGCAAAATATAAAAAGTATCAAATAATCATTTGGGAATAATTTAATTTTACAAAAACTTTCCCTGTTATTTACCTGAGTAATAAAATAGTTAAGGCTGAAGTCTCATAAATTTTAAAAAGACAAAAAAAACTTACGTTGCTAAGGATCTGCGAGCAACTTCCAAAGCTTTATTTTTCCTATCCCTGTGCCTTTCGCCAGCTTTTTCAGCGAGTTGAAAGGCAATTTGTTCTCTTTTCGGTGGCTCTGCCATTCTGAACGACAGTCCTTGATTCGCCCTCAATAATGGCGTATCACCTCCGTCTAATCTAAAAGGTGTGCCTTCTATTTGACCCCATGTCATAAGTGGACTCTCGCATTCACCAGGACGCGGACTTGGAGTTGCCACAATACTAAATCCATTAATTCTAGGCGTTTGATTTTTAACCACCTCTTTACCATCGACGCCAATTTTACCGTCATTCACTTTTGACTGTGATTTCGCCAATTCACTGATTGTTTCTTTATTCTGTTGCTCATTGAATGGATTAACAGTGAGTCTAGTATTTGTGTGTACAACTTCCTGCTTTTTTTTCGCCATCTCAATTTTTTCATCTGTCGTCAATTCCACACCATCGGGAACGTACATGATGTAATTTTTATTCGTATAATTCCACATTTCTAATTCCTTTGGTTTCTCACCACTCTCAATGGCTAGAGATTTTTCCTTCTCTATTGCGAGTACTTTCGCTGTTTCCTCATTCTTATAAAGCCAGGCGTATTTTAATTTATGTCGTTTTTCAACTTCGGCCATAATTTCCTGAAAACTTGCATTGTCCTCGCTTGTATGGGATCGAAGATAGCTGTCTAATCCAACTTTGGATTCGTTAGGAGTTTCTGATTTTGTTGAATTCATTGATGAATGGTTAATAGGTGTTTCACTTGAACATTCAATTGTATCGTCATTCCTGAGAAGTGGTGTTTCAAATGTAGCGGGACTTGCAGGTCGTTCTGTAGGTGGTGGACCTGAACTATATTTTTCGTATAATTCTCTCATTCGCTTCACGTCGTTTTGCTCCAAAGCCTCCAAATATTCATTTTGGGCTTTTAGTTTCTTTAAATCGGGAAAAAAATCCCTTTCAATTATGTTTCCTGAAAAGTATAAAATTAATAATTAATTTCGTATCTGAAGACAATAAAAAAAAAACAAATATTATTTATATTCCATAAGTTTTTAAAGTTACAATGAAGGGAAATTTATTTTTTCTTCATATTCAATTTTTATTCCTCTACAGGGTTGCCACAAAAATTTAATTTTGTTTTTCCCTGTTTTACAGACAAAATTTTGACTTTTTCCCTGACCCTAAAGAATATTCTGATTCACTCCAAAAATTATTAGATACTCAAAAAAATGATCTATTACATTTATTTACGAATTTCTTCAATTGTAAAATTATTCGAAAACATTAATAACTTCTTTTTTAAATACATAAATATTTAATTATTATTTTTCTACAGGAATTAAGATTTCCAAATTCAATCCTTTTGAAATTCAATAACTTGTGAGAATATTATTATAAAACAAGAAAATAATTGAATTCTTGCAACAAATTTTATTAATAATTTTTTTAAAGAATTGAATTTCTATGAAAAAATTTATTTGTGAAATTAATTGAACTCTGGAGAAAAATATTATTATTTACGAAAATAATTAATTTCTTGTGAAGAATTTTATTCAAATTTTTAAAAATAATTGAATTTCTCAGAATTTTTTAAAACTTTTTGAAAATAATTAAATTTTATCGAGAAATTTCATTAAAAAATTGAAAATAATTGAAATCTTACAAAGAATTAAAAAACTCATTTTTTTAAATAATTGAATTGCTTTGAAAATGTTTATTTTTTAAAAGAATTGAATTCTTGGGAAGAATTTTATTAAAATTTCTTAAATAATTAAATTCTCAAAAAAATTTTATTATTTATGAAAATAATTAATTTCTTGCGAAGAACTTTTTCCAATTTTTTTTATATAATTGAATTCTTAAGAAGAATTGTATTAAAAATAATTGAATTACATATAGGAAAATTTTATTAAAATTGCTATTTTATTAACTAAATCTTGTAAAGAATTTTGTCAACATTTTTTTAAATAATAGAATTTTTAAAAGAATTTTATTTAAATTTTTCGAAATAATTGAATTTCTCAGAACAATTTGTTTTCAATTCTCTGAATATATTTTAATTCTTTCGAGAAACTTCATTAGAAAATTAAAAATAATTGAATAGGTTCGAAGAAATTTATAAAAAATTGGTAAGTAATTGAATTCCTGTGAAACTGTTATTAAAATTTTGTTTAAATAATTGAATTCTTTTGGAAAATTATATTAAAATAGATATTAAAAATAATTGAAATGAGGAAAATTTTTGGAAAATAATTGAAACTTTGGCAAGAATTTTATTAAATTTTTTGAAAATAATTGAATTTCAAAGAAGAATTTTATTATTTATAAAAATAATTGAAATTTAACGAGAATTTTTAAAAATTTTTGAACATAATTGAATTTATGCGATGAAATTTATCACTTTTGAAAGAAATTAAATTTTTGGAATCAGTTGTTCTTAAAATTTCAAATTGAAACCTTTGAAGTTCATCAATTTATGAAGATTGTAAACGCAACTCTTTTGAAATCAAATTAAGTTTGAAATTTTTAAGTAAAATTATTTATTAAATAATTTATAAATAACAATTTTTAAGAAGAAATAAATAAATTTCTTTCATTATAACGTTCTGAACTTGAGGAACATTAGAAGGTTGTACTTTGCCAATTTTCATGGAAAAAGTAAAGTAATTATTTTGGAAAGCAAAATATTTGAAAAGTAAAATATTTATTTGATAATTAATTTAATTTACTAACCCATATTGCCAATATACGTATCCTCATCTAATATTTTAACTCGATAACAATTACTCTTTTTGGCAACTCCAATTGGTTTTTTGAATATTGCCAAATCCTTAATATTTCTCGCTGCTTCGAGAGCACGAATTCCTGGAGAATCCATTGGCGAGCACATTTTATTTCTAATTTAAATTAAAACTAACAATTATGGATAAATTAAATTAAATGTAAACGATGTAAACCAAAAATGTATCCACAACGTATTAGGAAAATTTTGAGGTTATCTTGATGAAATTTCACTTTACGGAAATTTGAGTAGTTTTCTTAATATTCTACATGTTTTACTTGATTCACAATAAGATGGAATAAGTCTTGTAATAATAATTAGTACTTGTAAGAATTATTTTTATTAATTATGAAACGAAAATAAAGAAGAGTTAAGGAACAAACATCACAAATTTGACAGATGTAAAACATCACTGGAGAGTGGCGCCATTAGTGACGTTACTCGTTACTATCTTTAGCGCATTTTTTTTTAATTTTTTAAATTAAATACCTGTAATTTCAATAATTTATTAAAAATTTCATTCAAAATATTGTTTTGCAAAACAAAAATATGTTTGAAAAATTTTCAATTGTTATTTGATTTAAATTACTTCTGTGCTTTACGGTTAGCTCTTATTCAGGGGTATGCTTTATGGAAAGCTTTTATACAGGGGCATGTTTCACAGAAAGCTCAGGTTTATTAATTGTATTCTATTTTTACAAACGTTTATAAAAATTTTAAAAAAACATTTTTTCAACATTAAGTAACTGAAAAATTATTTTTTCCCATAATTAGATTTTTATTTAATTTTTATCCGACGAAAAAAATTAAATAAAGGCGAAAAAAATAAAAATGCTTTGAAAAAATAAGACTGACTAAAATTTAGAAAACAAATAGAAAAAATTTTTTTTAATTTAGTGTTTAAAAAATTTCTTTTAGAGTGAAAATAATATTAACTCATAAGTATATAGTGCAGAAGGCGAAAATGTTGACGGACATAATGAGGATTCCTGCAGTGATATAGGATTCGTGTGTCGACTAAACTATACAGTTAAAGTTATTTAGAAATTTACAAATTTATAGAAAATAGAAGACGATAAAAATATTGTTTTAACATATGTTTTGTAAATTCAGCAAATATTTTGCAAGTTTTCCTTTTAATTTTATTAGAGAGATAAACGACTGCGACAGAAAATTTTACAAATAATAAATTAAGAAATTAATATTTAATTTTTTTCGTTTATTAAATAAATTATTTATTTAAAATTTTGATACCCTAAAATTTTTTTTTATTGAAATTGTACTGATTCATTTAAGTTATATTTATTTATTTATAAAGTAAAATTTATTAATAAATATTAATCATAAATTTTTTTTAATCTTTTTGTGTACAAAAAAAATGTAATTTTACTTTTAATAATCATTACTATAATTAATATAATTATTTTCGGTGCTAAAAAAATTCGAGTAAATTATGAAAGTATTTTTCTAATTAATGAATGAAGAAATAATCTCCCTTTCGAGAATTTAAATATCGTAAAGTGTATGATGAAATATTTTCGTTAAAATTCTGGGTAATGAGAAATTTGAGTCACTTTTTTAATAAGTGATTCAATGAAATTGATTGGCACATGGCCGTATACTGTCAACTGTTTTTTTTTCTTCTTTTTTTTAACTATGGAGATAAATTATGAGGATCATTCCCCCTTGTATTTATCTGTTCTTAAGGTAAACTATTCGGAGTTGAAGATCGCGGGCAATGTCTGTCTTCACAGAGACCACAGAGCTTGCTCGGACGCTTTTTCCTGTTGACAGATATCTTCCTTCCTCCTCCTTTTCTTTTTATTCGTCATCTCCCACTTTGTTTTCTTTCAATTTCATTTTGCAAAATTATAACATAAAAGAAAAATATTAATATTGATATAAGTTTTGATAAAAGATTTATTTTAATAAATAAAAAATAATTATTCACTAATAAATTAGTTTGTCTCATTAAGTTCGGACAGTGTCTCAATGATAGGTCCCTTTACCTTACTTATTTTTTTAATAAAGTTGCTTTCGCGAGGGATTTAACCCCAGTCAGTCTTCTTGTAATAACACTACACCAATTAATGCACTCGACCAAATTCAATAAGTTTCGTATTTAGCAGAAAAGTAGTATTTTAATATTTACAAGTATAATTGAATTTTTTCGAAGGATTTTATTATTTAGGAAAATAATTGAATTCTCGTAAAGAATTTTATTAAAATTTTTGATAATTTTAATTCAATTCTTTTTGAAGAATTTCTTTGAATTTTTTTTTTAAATAATGAAGTTTCTTTAAAATTGTTTAAAATAATTTAATTTTATGAACAATTTCCTTACCATTTTTAAAATAATTGTGTTTGTTTATATAATTGAAATTAAACATTTAATTATTGAATTTTATTAAAATTTTAGAAAATAATTGAATTCTTTTGAAAAATTTTATAACGAATTAAAAAAAAAATTGAATTTTTTTGTGAAATTTTTTTGAAAATAATTGAATTTTTGCAAAGAATTTTACTATTTATAAATATAATTAAATTGTTTCGAAGAATTTAATAAAATATTAGAAAATAATTTAATATTTCCAAAAAATGTTATTAAAATTTGTTTAAAAATAGAATTCTTTCATGAAATGTTATTAAAATTGTTGTATTAAAAATAATTTAATTTTTGTAAAGAATTTTACTATAATTAATAAATATAATTGAATTGTTTCTAAGGATTTACTAAGATTTTAGAAAATAATTTAATCTTTTCGAAAAATATTAAAAATTAAAAAATTCTGAATTCTTTACTGAAATTTTATTAAAATTATATTAAAATTTAAAAATAATTGAATTTTAACAGAAATTTTACTATTTAAAAAAATAATTGAATTTTTACGAAGGATTTATTAAAATTTTAGATAATAATAATTGAATTCTATTGAAATTTTTTTAGAACGAATGAAGAAAAAAATTGAATTTTTTTCGTGAAATTTTTTTGAAACTAATTGAATTTTTGCAAAGAATATTACTATTTATAAATAAAATTCAATTGTTTCGAATGAATTATTAAAATTTTAGAAAATAATTGAATTCTTTCGAAATATTGTATAACGATGAATTAAGAAAAAGATTGAATTCTTAAATTAATTAAAAAAAATTTAATTGTTTCGAAGGATTTATTAAAATTATATTTGTGTTAAAAATAATTGAATTTTTGCAAAAAAATTTACTATTTATAAAAATAATTGAATTAGGTAGTAATTGAATTTTTTTAAAGTTTGAATCTGAAATTATTCAAAAATTCATATTTGAAAATAAAAAATTTTGTAATTTTGCATACTAATAATAAATTGAATATCAAGTTTCGCTAGTATACAATATGGTTATAATTATATTAATGGAGAGTAAATTATATTGAATTTTGGAATAAAATAAATAAAAATAAAAAAATGAGTAATAAATATAGTAAAATATGAGTGAAGCTGAAAATACAAAGCAAAAGTGATGATGAAGAAAAGGAAGAAGAGGAAGACGAATAGAAGTAAAGAGTAAACAAGCGAGGTGCGATTTGACGTGTGCACTCCGGTCCATTCAAAGAGCATCTTGCAAGAAGTTTTGCTTCAAGAATTTTGAATATAACCGGTGGCTGGAATCTTTAAATCTGTCATTGCAGCCATATTCGTGTGGGCACCGTGTGTCGAGAGCGCAATAGTACTCCTCCTCGCAAGTTTATTCCTACTTCACAGGATATGAACTTTATACATTTGCCAAAATTATTTTTGGTATTTCATTTTAATATTAACTTTCCGTTATATTTTTATCTACATATATATTATAAAAAGTCCCATTTGGTATCGGTTTACGTTTTATTGTTAAAACAAAATATTCAAAATCTTAAATTTCAAATTAATAATAATTAACATAGCTTAATTAATATAACATAAGATATTATTCACAAACATAAAATTGAGTTCCAGTTTCTCGTAATTTTTTCAGTTTGCTCATAATTATCTTCTGTTGATCAAGTAATCCAACATTTTCATCATTATGCGTCATTTTAATTGTCAAAGGTTCATTTGTCTCATTAACTCTTGTCCAAATTGTCTCATTAATGAAAAATTTCGTTCCTGAAAGTAGAATAACCTCCGTAAATATATTATAACTAATAATCTCGTCAAGATTAACTCTCAAATATGGTTTTGGAAAATACATTTCATAAACACATTCCGTCATGATATTAAATGGATCCTTTAATTTTTTGCCTTTCGTCATAAAATCTGAACTCTCTCGTGTTGTTTCAACCACTGTAAAATCATTCCATTGTAATTCTTTTCGAGTTTCGTTAAATTGTTCCCTGTACCATGTTGTTAGATTGGTGAAACCTTTAAATAGTGTGTAATTAACTTTTTCATTTGGATCATTTAATTGTGTTAATGCAACACTGTAGATGGCATTTTTCATTCTTCGCGATATATCCGTATCGTATTCCATCTCATCGTATCCTATTACTTTGAAAAGTTTAAGTGCAAAATAATCCTCAAATCTTACTTTTGAAGAAAGATTTTTTATTCTGTAGAAATATTTTGAATATTTTAAAGTTCCTCGAAACCATATTCTACGGAATGATGTATTGAGAATAGGTTTATAAAGTTCTCGTAATTTTTGCCTTAATTTCGAACAGTTTCTTGGATAATTATTTGTATGTGTTAAATTATAAAATAATTCCGGTTCATCCATTCCCAAATTAGTGAGACGTGCAATTTCTGCTTTTCTATCTAACTGATGATCGATTGGTTCAATTTGTTCTCGTAATGTGTTATTATTATCATCTTGTTCTTTTGATAATGAAACGAAATTTTCAGCATTAATGCACGTGTAGAGTGTTACAATGTGAATAATCAGCAGAGAATTTATGAATATTGATAGATCCATTTTTCTGAAAACTGAAAATTTATTGAAAATAATTAATAATTTCAGGGCTCCAACTATAGGTCTGTAAATCCTGTAAAAGTCCGTTTTTTAAAAAAAAAGTCCGTAAAGTCTGTAATTTTGATTAAAAAAATATGAAAAGTTCGTAAATTGTACGATATAATTTGGATAATTTTAGAAAATTTACAAATGATTGCAGAAATTCAATTATTTTCAAGAGTAAGAATAGTCCATATTTTACTTTTATGGTTAAATAAGTTTGTATATTTTTTTCTATTTATAAAAGCAGAATATTTTTTAAAAAGATTCATTAAAATTGCATAAAAATGATAAAATGTCAAATTATGTTTTTAATTATAAAGCACAATTTATCAAAGATATAATTATACCTGTTTTTAATGTCGTGACGCACGGATGAAAATTCAATTAAACCTAAATTTTCTTTTTTCTAATATTTTTGAATAACGTTTCAAATTAAAAATTATTTACTTTGGAATCAGTATAGAAATAGAAACGATCAATCTCTGTACTTGTTGAAAAGTAGTAAAATTTTTATCCATTGTTTTCCTTTATATAGAAAAAAAATTGGCCAAAAATAAATGAATAATATTAATAGTAACTACGTTTTTTATTTGCTAAAAGATTAAAAATCTATGCAAATTATTTCTGAGTTTATTAAATTTCAAAATGATATGCTTCAAATGGTATAACAAAGCGCCTGTAATAATTGTATAAATAAATAAAATTTTAGCAGAAAATACATTTTTTTTTATCAAAAAAAGACTATTTGAAAATTTATTCAAATAATATTTCTGAGAAATTTATAAAATTTAAAAATCAAATAAACGCAAATAAGCACACCTGTAAAAACAATATATTTAATTTGAAACAGAATATTTGTCATCAAATAATAATTTCATTATTTCAAAGTAAAGTTTACTGATGACGCAAAATTAGTAATACTTTTAGAAAATAGACGGGGGATCAGAGCTGAGAAAAAAAGTGCGCTATTAATAAATTTTAAAAATTTATTAATTTATGAAATTTGTTCGATTTTTCTTAAACTTGTTAGTAATTAAATAAAAAATTACGTATCATTATCAAAACCACCTAAAACATTGAAATTAATTCGAAAAAGTGACTTATCTCCTATCAAAAATTTCAATTATCTTTATAAATAATAAAATTCTTCTCCGAAATTCAATTATTTAAACAAAATTTTAATAACAGTTTCACAGGAATTCAATTACTTACCAATTTTTTATAAATTTCTTCGAACCAATTCAATTATTTTTAATTTTCTAATGAAGTTTCTAAATTAATTCAAATATATTCAGAGAATTGAAAAAAATAATTCTGAGAAATTCAATTATTTCGAAAAATTTAAATAAAATTCTTTTAAAAATTCTATTATTTAAAAAAATGTTGACAAAATTCTTTACAAGATTTAGTTAATAAAATTGCAATTTTAATAAAATTTTCCTATATAATTCAATTATTTTTAATACAATTTTTCTTAAGAATTTAATTATTTAAAAAAATTGAAATAAAGTTCTTCGCAAGAAATCAATTATTTTTATAAATAACAAAATTTTTCTCGAGAATTCAATTATTTAAAAAAATGTTGATAAAATGCTTTATATAAATTTGAAAAATTATAATAAAATTTATCATAGAATAGAATTATTTTCGTAAAATATAACATTCTTCCTAGGAATACAATTATTGTAAAAAATGTTTGTAAAAGTCTTCGAAACAATTCAATTATTATTTTCGTAAAAAATAAAATTCTTCGAAGCAAATCAATTATTTAAGAAATTTTAATAAAATTCTTCCCAAGAATTCAATTTTTTTCAAAAATAAACATTTTCGAAGCAATTCAATTAAGTATTTAAAAAAAAAAATTTTTTTATTCTTCGTCAGATTTCAATTATTTGTAATTTTTTAATGTTTTTGAATAATTTTACAATTAAAGAAATTCGTAATTAAATTTTTGATTATCTAATAATTTTTGGAGTGAATCAGAATATTCATCAGGGTCAGGGAAAAAGTCAAAGTTTTGTTTGGAAATCAGGGAAAAACAAAATTAAATTTTTGTGGTACCTAACCCTAATAAAATAAAATAATATTGTAAAATAATAATTATTATTCTTTCTAATTGCAGTTAGTAATTGCTATTAAATTTCCAATTTATTTGAATGAAAAACAATTTAAAAATATTGAAATATTAAACTTAACGAAAAATTGTCTTGGCTCCGAAAACTTACAAAAAATGATTATTATTATTATATTATTTTTTTCATATTACTATTACCCAATTAAAATTAATTAATGATTTAAATTACCTTAATTATTTTTATTAAAGTTAATACAAATTAAAAATGCAATTTATTTTTGAAGAAAAAAATAATTAAAAATTATGATGAAAAAAATTTTGCTTGGCGCCAAATATAGAAATGAGTGAAATAAATCTCCCTAATTTACCGGTGGTAAACTTTCGCTAAGGATTTTGGATCAAAAGCCGACAAATGAATCGCTTGAATAAAAATGCATCTTCGCCCCGATGATGGTGTCTCGAGGAGGTCGCGATCGTGAGGTTCCAAGGGCTATGAATCCGTCATCGCCACGGCGACAATCCTGGAGTAATGGCGGTGACAAACTGTCTCTCTCTAGTGTTGCTTTTATAGTTTTCCCAGCAACCAATGTAAATCAAATCCCAACTAATTAAATTAGTCAACTTAATGGGAGGGGAGGAATTTTAAATTCGAAATTTTCGCTTTTCATTTTAGCAAAAGACTCTCATTGTGAATTTTTATTTCTTTTAATTTTCAATTGTAGTCGAACTTTTTTTTTTAATTTTACAACATTTCTATTTAAGAAATTTTGTGTTTCGATAATGTTTATTTAGCCAAAATTTAATTGCACCTGAATCTATGTTATGTAGAATTTTAATTTTGCACAATTTCCTTGTTAATCGTATTTTATCTTTACATTTGGTATTCAATTTAATTGGATTTTCGATCTAAGGAGTTTTTATTTAGCTGAAAATTTATTTGACTAGAATTTTATTTGGCTGAACTTTTCATTAATCAAATTTACAATTAATCAAGTTTTTCTTTTGCTGTTTTTTCATTTTTATATTGATTCTCTTTTCTATTTTTTTCATTTGGTATATTGCATTCATAGAAAAATTTTATTTAACCGAAATTTGGTTAAATAAAAATTTGTTTGAAAATAGAAATTGTGCTAAATAAAAATTTTCTTGGATAAAAACTCAGCAAAATGGAAACTTTCGTCAAATAAAAGTTAAACTGTAAAATTATTATTCGGCTAAATATTTAAACATTCTAATAATTAATTACTCAATAAAAAAATTCGGTTTAACAAAAAATTTGGTTAAATAAAACTGTAAGAAATAAAAAATGGAAAAAATTCTGCTAAATAAAAATTTTCTAATAAAAAGTTCGGCTGTTAAGAAAATAAAACATTTATAATTTATAAATATAATTTTCAAAGTCGATGACATTTAAATTACATATGTTAACATTAGTTCAGAGTAGTTAAGAGTAGTTAAGAGAGTTTTTGAATATATATTTATATATTTAAAATTCTAACCGTGTTGGATTAGATGTATTCTATATTATTACGAAAGCATTTGATTTACAAATGACGCTGACACCTTTAGCTTCAAAATGTCTTCGCCTCACTAATGTTTTCTGCAAAGGTATTAAGTGCTCAATGTAGAGCATGAATTTTCCTCATATAAACAATCGATTGAACATTTATTTTTACAAAGGAGCCGTTGAAATATTAAATACTGACTGCAAAATTTAACATTTCTTTTCACCACTGTAAAATAATTTACAATGTTTACTGAAAAAAATATTTTTAACTTTTTCACTTAATTTTGACTACATTATTTTTAATATTTTTATAATTTATTATTTCTTTTGAAAAAAGTTTCAATTTTTGTGTAATTTATTAATATTATACAAAATAATTTTAATGTTTTGTAATTTTTTAATGGTAATTACAATTTTTATTGTATAGTTATTTTATTTTTTAAAATTAATTTTTATAAATAATGTTACATAACATTTTGTCAAAATACTCAAAATAAATTATTTAATTTCCACTTTGCAAAATTGTCAGGCTTCTTAATATAATTAAATTTATTGAATAATTTCAGATTCGAAATTTAGAAAAATTCATTGATTAACTAATATTTACTAATTAATTATTATTTATTATTTTTGAATAAATGTTAATAAAATTTATAGAAAGACTTCAATTATTTTTAAAAAAAAATTTAATAAAATTCTTGTCAGAAATTGAAATATTTTCATAATTTTTAATAAAAGTTTCATTTTATTAAACAAACATTTATTTATTACTGCAAAATTATGGAAAATAAAATAATTTCTAAATTTTTCTTGCAAAAAATAATATTCTAAAACTTATGCTCTAAACATTTTAATTAGCAAATATTTTAATTCGTTAGAAAAAAAAGTGATTTGAAATTTCTAAACATTTTTGTTAAGAAACTTAAAATTTTGTAACTTTTACAATTTTAAATTTGAAAAAATGTAATTTTTGCATAGAATTTTATTAAAATTTTAGAAAATAAAATCTAATAATTTTCTTTTAATATCTTCAATTTTAAAATGAAAATATATTGAAAATCATCGAATTGTTGCAAGGAATTTTATCCAAAAATTTGATAATAATAGAATTCCTTTGAAGAATTTTATTATTTAGGAAAATAATTGAATTCTCGTGAAGAATTTTGTTAAAATTTTTGATAATTTTAATTAAATTCTTTTTGAAGAGTTTCTTTGAATTTATTTTTAAACAATGAAGTTTCTTTAAAATTTTTTTAAATAATTGAAGTTTATGAACAATTTCTTTTAAGTTTTTAAAATAATCATGTTTGTTGATATAATTGAAATTAAACATTTAATTATTGAATTTTATTAAAATTTTAGAAAATAATTGAATTTATTTGAAAATTGTTTTAACGAATTAAGAAAGAAATTGAATATTTTCGTGAAATTTTTTTGAAACTAATTGAATTTTTGCAACGAATTTTACTACTTATGAATAAAATTGAATTGTCGAATTGTATTTTTTAGTGAAATATTGTTTTGAATATAATAGTTCTGACACTCGGCAAGGCCACAAGTCATTTAAGAAGAAGAAGAAGAAGAAGAAGAAGAAGAAGAAGAAGAAGAAGAATTTTTGCAAAGAATTTTAATATTTATAAATATAATTGAATTGTTTCTAAGGATTTATTAAAATTTTAGAAAAGAATTGAATTTTTTTGAAAAATATTATTGAAAATTAAAAAATTCTGAATTCTTTTATGAAATTTTATTAAAATTGTATTAAAATTTAAAAGTAATTGAATTTTAGCAAAAATTTTACTATTTAAAAAAATAATTGAATTGTTTCGAAGGATTTATTCAAATTTTAGAAAATAATTAATTAGTAAATTATAGTTAGTTGAATTTTTTTAAAGTTT